AAAAAAAAAAAAAAAAAAAAAAAAAAATCTTTTCAGCTGAGTTCAAGAGTCAAGTTGTGTGACACGTTTTAAAACCGTGAGGCAGAAGGCGATACATAACGAGCCAAATCGGACAATATCTATTAGCAGAGGGTTTGGGTTGTTACAAATGGTATCAAAGCCAAACACCATGTGGTATGCCAACAAGGACGTTGGACCCCCAAAGAGGGTGGGTTGTGAGATCCCACATCAGTTGAAGAAAAAAACGAAACATTCCTAATAGACGCGTTTTAAAACCGTGAAGCTAACAACAATACGTAACGGACCAAAGTGGACAATATTTACTAGCGGTGGGCTTGGGCAGTTATAGGTCGCACAAAATACCTGACCAATCTTGAAGTATGATGCAGGGTTCAAAGTAGCATCCCAAGAAACCTCAGTCTGATGAATCAAAGCGGGCACTCCTTGGATCTATATCAACGTGGTTGAGTTAAAAATCTCAAAATTTTTAGAAGACATACACACCCTTAAAACAAGTAAACGTGTCCAAAAGAGCAACTTGAAATGAAGAATGTTCATATCCAACCAGAAAATGTACCACCGTTTCTTTATAAACCAAATTTTCCAAAGTGCACCACATCACTCCAACATACAATTATACAGTGTAGAAAACAAGAAACTCTTCCATTTACCTCGACAAAGATACCAAAATAAGCGATCTTCGTGATGCAACATTTGACAACATCTCCTACTTGCAGAGTAGCCTGGATAAGCAATTAAATGAAATGAGGATACATGTTAATGCTAAAGGTTTGAGAGAATCAAAATTCTCTATTTCATTCACTAAAGAGATATGTATACAAGTGGACAAGGTTAACCTAAAATGCTGCTAAGGCATATCCAACCATCTCAGCAAAACTATCTTGAATATGGAAAGTGTTACATAAAACAAATGAAAAATAAAGAGGAACTGAATAGTAAACAATGAACACTACCGTTTCTTGCATGATATCTAATTAATCATTTTGAAAACCCAGGAAAAAATTATTAATTATCTTCAAGCATAGTAAGTTATAAAACTGAACTAGCATTCTAGCATCCGAAAAACGCTACAACAGGATAAAGTAGCTAACCATTAAACTCCTCTTTTTCTCGACCAATTCTTCCCTTTCTTTTTGCCTTATGGAAAATATAAGCTTCCTTGATTTTCTGTTAGCCAACACCACATTTACTTTGATTTTCTGCAAACATACATTCCATCAGTACTCATGAACAGTTGTGATTGCTGAAATTAGTGAGGCTTCTAAACCTGGCCGACAAATGATGACAAGAATTTGAGTTTCTCTCGATCATAAATTTGAAGAAGATCCTCCAATTTCATGTCAGGTGTAAGCTCACTCCCATTTTTTACATCAATTTCTGGATCTGGCCTAGTACTAGCAAAATTCGGGCTTCCACCGTCACTAATTCCAATAATTCCTAAGTTTTGCTTGTATAGTGATGGATCCAAACCTTTCTGTCTTAGCCAAGACTCGAAAGCTAAGAACTTCCACTTGGCAGAAAGATTACGATATGGAATAAATCCTACGATGGAGCCGAATGATACCTTCACAAATCAAGAAACAATTAATGCCAAAAAGAAAAATGAACTTCAAATAAAAGTAGGACAAAGCACT